GTTTCAAGGAAAATTCCTGCAGGAGCCAGGGAGCCAGGGGGCCAGGGAGCCAGGGAGCCAGTCAGACACCGGGCAGCCTGGGCCGCGGCTGTCCCTACAGCCTCCTGGACGGGCAGATGCCCAGGCAGCTGTGCCAGTCCCGTGCCCAGCTGAGGAGGGTTGGCTCACGGGCCTCCCGGGCGGGCGAGGAGCACCCACGGGGGTGGTGGGGAGCCTCCAGTGCCCCTGCCCACACCGCCCCCTTGGAGCCCAGCTCTGGGAAGCGAGGTGGGCAAGCGTGGTGCCTGCCCAGGATGTGGAGGGCCATGCGCGCCTCCATTTCACGGCATCTCTCCGCTGGGCCCGGAGAACAGATTTGCCCACAGGAGCCACGAGCCCCCACTGCTATCGCAGCCTGAGCCTGTCCTGGGGGGCGAGGGGTGAGTGTCAGAGGTCACAGAGGCTTGGCCGCGGCCTCGGGGAGAGGGGAACCCCAGTGTGCCCGGCCCCGGCGTCTGTGGTTCCGTGTGCAGACTGGCCCTGCCAGGCCAGGGACCCGGCACGGACCCGGGCAGGCCCCTCAGGGTCCCTAGCCCCGGCATCTGGGACCAGATCTTGGGGCTGCTCCCCGCGCCCCCCCTCACCCCCATGCAGGCTCCAACGGGTCCTGTCCACACCGTCCTCCAAGCTGCAGAGAATCCTGGCGCTGCCAGGAATTGCCCGAGGCTGGGAAATGCCCGAGATCTTGTCCAGGGAGCTGCCTGGTCTCACTTGACTTTAAGAGAAGGCAGAGTTCACCCGGCCAGTGTGGCTCAGTGGTTGAGCATCAACCTAGGAACCAGGAGGTCCTGGTTCCATTCCCGGTCAGGGCACATGCCCGGGTTGTGGGCTTGATCCCCAGTGTGGGGTGTGCAGGAGGCAGCCGATCCATGATTCTCTCTCATTGGTGATGTTTCTAGCTCTCTCTCCCTCTCCCTTCCTCTCTGAAATCAATAGAAATATTAGAGAGAGCGAGAGAGAGAGAGCAGAGGGCAGAGTTCCACAGGTAAAATCAGGACAAAAATAATACCCCGCAGTCCACGCGGTCCTTACACACCGAGGGGAATCGCTGCCGAAGGCCAGCCCCCAATTAACTATCTCTGGGTCTCGGGCAGGGAGACGGGGTTCCCTCCCCAGTGGAGCGGCAGGCAGTGCTGCCTGGGGCAGTCGGCTGAGCTGGGGACCCGGAACCCCCCAGCCTTCCGGTCCCAGGGGCCCCGGGCCGGGCACAGGGACCCGCACTCGCCTCCAGCCCCGGAGGGAAAAGTGCAATGAGCCTCTGAGTCCCGGGGGGGCGCCAGCAGCTCCGCTCTATCGACCAAATTCCTTTCATCTCTGTTTTGATGGGTGACGTTGGAGGCCAAAATATTTGGTTTGTGAGTCATGCTAATTACAGCTGGTGGCTAGGGGCGGGCGAGAGGCACCAGCAAGAGCAACGGAAAGCAGCATATTCCAAAAAGTCACGCTGCGCTGCTCCCTGAACAGGGCGGGGCAGTCCCGGCCCATCCCGGGAGGAGCCTGGGCCTGCCCTGCCGGCCACGTAGTCGCTGTCCGCTCCCACCTGCGGGGTGCCCCTCCCCCTGCTCACGCGCGCCCCGAGGGCAGCAGCATCCTGCAGGAGCTCGGCTGTCTCCTGGGCATAGGCCGTGTAGGGGGCACTTCCCTCGGCCTCGAGCCGGGCGAAGGAGGAGAGAGAGCAGGAGGCAGAGCAGGAGGTGAGGCCAGGGTCCCTGGGAAGCAGAGCTGCCGTCCTGGTGCCCAGGGCCTGTCTCGGGGGCAGCTGGGAATGGGACTTTGGAGATGGGCAGCTGGGGTTCCAGCCTCAGCGCGGATTGCTGTGCGTCCTCCAGCCAATCACATGCCTTCTCTGTGCACAGAGATGCAGGCCCGAGGCCTGTCCTGGTCTCCTGCCTCCGGGCAAGGGGGGAGCTCTCGGAGCTCCGAGGCCGAATGTGCCGTGGACAGGCTTGTGGGGAATTATGCTCTGGGCCTGCTTGTGTGAGAAACACACACATACACACATGCATGCACATACACACTCATGCACATACACACGAATGCATATGCACACACGTGCACATGCACACACATGCACACACATCCAGGCTGCCACTATTTTTATTGCCGCGTTGGTGGTTGGAGCTCCTCTCTACCCCTTGGCTCTCAGGTCAAGGGGGAGGAGGGGAGGAGAAAAGGGAGGGGACGAGTCCGCCTTCTGCCCCCCGACTCCCCTCCACCTGCCTGTCCTCCCTCCCGTCCGGTGACAGGGACAGGCGGCCTGAGAAGAGCGGCCTCCTGGCCCCGCGGCCTCTCCCCTTGGCGCCCAGCAGCAGGGCCTCGGTCTGGGGACGTGCCTGGCAGCGGCCCTCCTGCCCGAAAAGGCAGGCCCCGCGGCCTCCGAGGCCCTAGCAGCCCCCAGGGACCGGGCGCAGCCAGCAGTGGAGGAAATTCAGTTCCTCGGGACACTCCGCCTTCTCTGTGTCCTCTCTCTGTTCATTCTCACCTGAGCATATTCTTTCTATCACTTTTCAGAGAGAGTAGAAGGGAGGGGGGGAGAGAGCGAAAGCGAGAGAGAGAGAGAGAGAGGTGAGAGAGACAGAGACACACTGACTGGTTGCCTCCCACATGCGCCCAATCAGGCGCTGGGGGGAGAACCTGCCCTTGACCGGAATTGAACCCGAGACCCAACCATGCATGGGCCAGCGCTCTAACCATTGAGCCACCGGCCAGGGCCACTCCTCATTTTCAAAGTTCCAAGTGGGCCCAGAGGCCTCCATTCTCAGAAACTAAGTGACAAAAAAAGACAGAAACAGGCTCCAGCGAGGCGGCTCCCTGCCCCCGAGTGGGTCAGGCGGGTTGTGAGTGCCTGGCATTGGCAGGGGAGGGGGGGCGTCCACGGGAGACACCGGGCTGCCCAGGAATCGGCACGGTGGGCCCAGGCGGACACGGTGTGGGGCCAGGACGGTGGCTAATTTTTTTAAAATGAGGAATATATTACAGAAGAAATTTTTACCTGTTAGAAAACTGACTGAGGGAAATAGCAGGCAAGGGGGAGAGAAGGAGTAGAGAAAAGAAACCAGAATTTACCTGCAGCCTGGCCATGCCCAGGAGCGCTGGGTGGTGTGGGGGAGCCGGCACCCAGAGGCCGTGCACCCAGCGGCCAAGGGCAGGTCAGGGGTGCAGCACAGCCCCGGGCCACTCCCAGCAGCCCGGGCCGCAGCCCAGAGGGTCCCCGGAAAAGGGAGCTGCATTCTCCCATCCAGGCCGGAGCCCTGCCGGGAACCCCACGGCTCAGGGCAGCACCTGCGGTCCTGGGTGGCGTCCAAGTGGCCACAGGCGGGGACAGACCTGCTGTCAGGTGGTCCAGGCT